GGGGGAAAAGAGTTGTCCTTCCCCCCTCCCCACTCAATTTGATACTACTACTACTACTGTAGTCCAGAAACTTGTTCCCTTTTGTTCACGGAACGTTTGACACTCTTCTTCGCTTACTTCTATCTAAGGATACCCATTGATACTCTCTTCTTTTCTCTGATTCCTCCCTAAAACCATCTTCCAAATAGGTGATTATGATGAGAGAATGATGTGTTGGAGAAGCTTGAATGTGTGTGTTCTGGTGAGGTACCGCCCATCTTCCTCTGCCTTCGCACATCATAATCAGTCTACAAGCCAAGTCTTGAGAACCTTGGATTCACTTTTCCTCTTGGAAGAAAGTTATAGTTATTCTCTCTTGTTTTCACTGATTCCTCCGGTAATGCCTTTTATACTAACAAGGAATATTTTTTCTCGGATTAGGAATTTTCGATGAATTGGTAGTCTAAAAGTAGATGATTCTGTTAGATCATTCTGAAATTCTCAGCCATCACAGGAGCCTGGTAATCTTCATCTGAATATCTAGCTAACCCATGTGAGAAAAATATCCCTTTGTAAGACACTTTGTTCACTTAGGATTTTGCTTAACCAAGGCTGTCAGAACTAAGAACGCTGCCGTCTGTTTTTTACTATTAGTTGAGCGCGAATAACTCATTTGAGTCGTCATCTTGACAGAATGCAAGGCTCTTTATTTTCTATAAGACTACTTGCTATCTAAAATATTCAAAAGCCATAAAACTTGATAAAAAATCTTTAGAAAATCGTATAGTATGATAAAATGTACTAAATCGCACCCAAACCGTATATTCAGCGTATCTCGATTGTCTTCAAAGCTATCAAAAAGTTATCAACTAGTAAAATGCTTGAAATATGTTGCTTAACTTTTTTTTAGTTGGCAACTTTTTGATAGCTTCAATGAGAATCAAGATATAAGGCGTTGATCAAGAAGCACTGGATGCAACTCAGTTCAATGACTACTTTATTTTCAGAGCAGCATATCTCGGCTGTTTTTGAAGCTATTAAAATGTTATCAACTAAAGAAATATTGGTCACAACATTTTGAGCATTTTGTTAGTTGACAACTTTTTGATAGCTTTAAAGACAACCAAGATATGCCCTTTTGAACATAAAGTATTTAACGCCGATTTAGAAAATGTCATTCGAAATTGAATGATAAGAAACTTGACATGTAAGTTTGACGCTCAATGACATTCTTTTTTGTTTTCAGCTGTGGTAAACTGACTGATTTTCCGGTAAAAGTTTGCATATTTTTACGAACCTCCACACTGTCCTGTACTGCCACATTTAGTCTGTTCTAAGTTTTATGATAATCTGGAAAAAATTGAGTTCAATATCTTCTAGAAGAAATTCTGGCTTTCTGAAAACAAAATTCAACAAGCCAATCCTCATTAAGAACGCTGAAACTATACGAAAATGGAGCGAAATTTGAAAATTGGCGCGAAATCCTTAGACAAATCCCTCCGAGTCTGGTTCATGATTCCTTTGCCTGAACAATCCCATTTTCTTACATAACTCTTTCCACAAATCAAACAAAGTCACCCCCTTCCCCTTTCTGTGGCCCATAAAATCTGCCAAACTCATCTTCCCACCAAATCTCCATTCCAAGAAGTGCAAACTTTAAAACCAGTACCTTGTACATATCTCCAAAACCTAAACTGTTTGCCCATACCTAGCCTCCTTTAACCGGATTTTTCGTGTTAAAAGTACGCAATATATCTTCTGAGACATATCTGTTCTCCCTCTTTTCTCCATGGTTCAGTGGATATTCTTCTTATATGTTTACAATTCCAACCTGTCCGCTTCTTCTGATTTCCTTTTCATCAATGTTCGCAACTCTTTCTCACCCAACTGAACGAACTATTAGGCAAGAGAACAGGCTCCGCCCACTTTCTTTCCGGTCGTAATCCGTTCCGTTCGTTAATTTCTTGGGAATACTATAGCTAGGGAAGTACTGTAGTACTGCTTATGTTATTGTTTTCTTTTTCTTGATTGTATAAGACATGCCTTTGTTTTAGAAGTTATTTTTTCAAATTTAGGATTTTTCAGTGAATTTCAGCTAATCAGCTGACTTTGAGCAAACGCCACACGGTCAAAATTTTTTCTACGGCTTAGAAAATTTTTGAGCGCATAAAGCATATCTAGAACAACATTTTTGTAGGTGACAACTTTTCTCCACAATCACTCTTCCGGCAAATTGAGCTCGTTTTCTGTAGGAAGATCGATAATTTCAAGGACCCTCCAAGGAATGAGCTGTATCTCCCGAGAGAGTGGTTGTACAAAAAAGTTGTCAACTACAATAATGAAGTTCTAGCTGTGCTTAATACGCTCAAAGATTTTTTGAGCCCTAGGAACATTTTTGAGTGAGTGGCGCATGCTCCAAGTTGGATGAAATCAACTGGAAGCGTAATTAGTTTTTTTTTTCGTCGATAACCCCCGATTTCCTCTTGAAAATCATGAAAATCGAGGTAAATTCAATAATTTTTTCTTTCCAAAGTCGTTTTCGTGCCAAGTTTGCTCTATTGTATTCAAAAAATTATTTCAACAAAATCTAAAAATCCGCCTCCTAAGCTCTCTTTTTTTCACAGGTTTTTCTAGTGTGCCGTAAGTCATGAAGTTTAGACATGGTATGTTCAAAGCAATATATCTCGACTGGCTTTGATGCTATCAAAAATGTTTTAACTAGTGAAATGCTCAAAATGCTTTGCCTAACATTTCTTTAGTTAACAACTTTTTGATAGCTTTTAAGGCCACTGAGATATACTGCTCCTAAGTTACCATTGCACCGAGTTCCATGTTCGACGCCTTATATCTCGGTTGCCTTTGAAGCTATCAAACAGTGGTCAACTGAAAAAATGTTGAGCAAAGCATTCGAAGCATTTTGTTAGTTGACAACTTTTTGATAGCTTCAAAGACAACCGAGATATACTGCTCGGAACATATAGTAACCATTGAACCAAGTTACATCCAGCGCTTCTTGTTCAACGCCTTATATCTCGGTTACTTTCGAAGCTATTAAAAAGTTTTTAAATAATAAAATGCTCGAAATGCTCTGATTAACATTTTTTTAGTTGACAACTTTTTGATAGCTATTCATACAACTGAGATATACTGCTCCTAAGTTACCATTGCACAAGTTCCATGTTCGACGCTTTATATCTCGGTTACCTTCAAAGCTATCAAAAAGTTGTCAACTAAAAAAATGTTGAGCAAAGCATTCCAAGCATTTTACTAGTCAAAAGTTTTTTGATAGCTTCAAAGGCAACTGAGATATACTGTTCTGAACATATGTTGGCAACTTTCAATCACTTTTTTCCTTACTGCTGCCATTCATCCTAACCATTTTTTCCTTCTTCTAATTACGAATTTAAAAAGATAAGCATGCTTTGTAATCTTCTTCATTCCTATCTTCCTCTCTCTCCCCTCTTTAATTAATCCTTAAAGAAACCTGAACACCCTCCACATTTCATCATTAAACTCGGCCCATTCCCGGCCATCCAAACTGATTGCTTTATCTTTCTCTCTATCAATTCCATATATTCCCATCACAAAACAACAACACCTCCCCTTCCTTCCCTCTTCCCTCCTCCATAAATCTTTGGATATTCCTTCTGCCATTCCTCATCCTCCTCTCCCCGCTAAGGAGATTCTGTGAACACACATTCTCCCAACGAATTCCTCTTTGTAGAATGACGTCGCAACCACTGAGAATGCTTCAACTGATTCTACTATTGATACCAGGATCCTATGGCTGTTTGCCCACTGGGTTAGGAGGTAAGTATGTCGGATAGAGCGCAGACACCCAGGCACTCTCGTTTCTCTGCGTCTAACTTCAGTTTTTTGAATACAGTAACCCAAGTTTCCAGGAATACTCGGAGGAGGAGGAGGATGTTCAGGTCGGCCTGGAGGCTGCGCGGCCGCTGCCGCCGCCCCGCAATACGCCGCTCCATTGCCACCAGCAATGTATGCGTTCACACCGCAGGTATGCGTCTTCAAAAGTCTCTGTCACCACCGTGCAACTCTATTACAGGTCTACAGCCAACCCCCACCACCGCCGCCGCCGCCACCACCACCGGCGATTATTCCGGCTCCGGCGCCAGCTCGGCATTTGCCATCGGAGGTGGTGATTCCGGTTTCGGCAGCGTCTAGCTACCAAGGGATGTATCAGGATCGGCCCCAGGCTCCGTCAATAAATCCGGATTATCAAGGGACTGCACCGTTGAGTTTTGCGGTTAGTTTTTTCAAATTGCCGTAGGGTTTGGTGTCGAGTCTGCAAACACCGTCACGTCAGAATGCAGATATTTGATCTAAGGGGTTACGGTAGCTAAATCTGGGGAAACACCTGATTGCGGACTCAAGACCAAAATCTCGTCAAATATGGTGTCGAGTCTGCAAAAACCGACAACTGACACCGTCACGTCAAATTACAGAAAATATCAAAAATTTCAGGGAGAAATCGCCTCATCCGAAGACCCGGCCAACACTGTTCTTGACCCCTTGAAATACATCGAACACGTCTCCGTATCGCACACCCCATCCATTCAAGTTGGTCCTCCAATTCAGGAGTCCTACCCGCCAAGCCCCGCCCCCGCGGACCCATTCCAGAATATCAATGTACCGGAGGAGCAGACCGCGCAGCCCGAGCTTCAGCAACAACAAAAACCCCCACAAATTCAAGTGAGACGAGCTAGAATTCCCGCAGTTATAGACTAGTTTTCAGGTGGCCCCCAGTTCTGCATCGACAGAAGACACGTACCTTCCAGGACCACCTGAGAAGGAAATGAACAATGCCACGAGAACCTTGAGCACCTATTATAATCAGTTGTGCACCGGAGACAAAATTACAGTGGGAGAGAAGGAAACGATCAGCTCTGCTACCAAGAAATGCGAGCTCTTGAAGTGTGTAGCAGCTAATGCGATGCCTGATAGTCATGGAAGTTATACGGTAAGTGTCGGAAACTTCAGGAAAAAGAAAAAAAAAGATTTTACCCCCGCGTGGAATCGAACCCGGGTCGCAAGTTTACAAAACGGCAGCGCTAGCCACTACGCCACTAGTCGCATCTAAGAAAGACAGAGAGAGGGGCTACACAAAGCTGCGGGTTCAGCCTTCTTTCTGGCAGCCACAGATGAAAAATTCCAGGTAACCTACCTGAGCAACGCGACGAGCCGATCGAATAGTAAGGGAAACTATTGTCTATCGATGAAGGAGTTGCCAGTGAAAAGTAAGAGAGTGATCAGGAAATTCGATGAGATGATGACGAGCGAAGAATCGACGAATGCGGTTCGAAGGAAGATTTTTAAGTTGTAATTTTTAATTATTTGAAAATTCACATTGTGAGAAATGCGCTCTATTGAAGGAGGCTTTCTATCAAAAACAAAATCGCCGAAAAACCTTTCAAAAAAAGAAAATATTACATGTTTATCATAAAAAATTCAATTTTTTGCGTCAATGTTCAATAGAGCGCATTTTCCCACTATGTGATAATTATTTTATTTATTTAATTGTATTTATCTTCCAAAAACTATTTTGCTCAACTCTAGATAGTTCAAATTTTGATAAACATAGTATGTGCCGTTTCAATAGAATCCCCCTTCCCCAAATCCGCTTTAGTTCCCTCGCTTCTCTCTTTTCCCCTTCTTTTTCTCTAATTCTCTTCGAATAAAATGTGCTCCCCCTGTTTCTATGGTAACTGCTCACAAGCGCTGAGCACATTTCCTGCTCGCATTCTGTGACAAAATGGGAGACGACCAACTGGCGAAAGCCGGTCTTTACGTTGATGATTTCAATCAATTGCGATTAATTGATCCGGGTAACTATTCTTTTTGAATTCGCGCCGATCCATTTCGACTCCGCATTTCCAGATGTCGCCGAACTCCTGCAAAGTGCTCAAGACAAATCGTCCGAGTTCAACGAGCAACTCAAAAACTTCCAGACCACCACAGGCGGTCTTATTGAAAGTATTGAGGAGTTTGCCAATGTCGTTGAAACGGAAAAGATTCGGGCAATGATGCTCCGTAACACCCAGGACAGGGATATGGCGGAGAATGATCCGGTGCTGTTGCAAATGACAATTCGAGAGTTAACAGTGGAAAAAGAGAGGTTAAGAGTGGAATTGGAAGCGGTTCGGAAGATTGAGAAGGAGCAGGAAGAGTACATACAAATGATGACTGAGCATTGAATTCATTCCATATGATAAATAAAGCGATAAAACATTTGTGTGTCTATACATTATAACTACAAATAGATCAATCAATAAAACAAAATTATTGCTTTTTTCGAGGGTAGTACTTCTCCAAAAGCGTTATGGGGATTCTTTTGAGCATTTCACGCGGGAAGATCCGCAACAACTCCCAGCCAATGTTGAGTGAGTCGACGATCGAACGGTTCTCATAGTGACCCTGGGCGATGAAGTTCTTCTCGAATTTTCCGAGGAATTCCAGATAGAGAAGGTCATCGGGAGATAGGGCTTCTTCTCCGACAACTGATTTCATTGCTTGTACTTCTTTTCCGACGGCGTAGCATGCGTAGAGCTGGAAATCGAGTTTTAAGGGGTGCTCCGGTACTTCAGAAACTAAGCAAGTTAGTAAAGGGAGTATTGGAACGCAGAAGAGACGCAGAGAAAGCTTTGGAAGCTCCTTACAAATCTCCTACCTGATTAGAAACATCCGAATGATCCTCTCTCGTCATTCCCTCTCCAATCGCCGACTTCATCAGACGAGAAAGCGATGGAAGCACGTTGATTGGCGGATAGATCAACCGATTATGCAGTTGACGATCCACGTAGATCTGTCCTTCGGTGATATAACCAGTAAGATCCGGAATTGGATGAGTGATATCGTCATTTGGCATTGTCAGAATTGGAATTTGAGTGATCGAACCTTCGCGGCCTTTCACCCGACCGGCTCTCTCGTAGATTGTTGCCAGATCGGTGTACATGTACCCAGGGAATCCACGACGACCGGGCACTTCTTCACGAGCTGCGGATATCTGAAATCAATATTTCAAAAAATCTGAATTCTCTTCGCTAACCTCTCTCAACGCTTCAGCGTATGATGACATATCAGTAAGCACTACAAGAACATGTTTCCCGCAATGATAAGCAAAGAACTCGGCGGCTGTGAGAGCAATACGTGGGGTGATAATACGTTCGATAGTCGGGTCATTTGCAAGATTCAGGAAGAGACAAACGTTGTCCATTGAGCCGCACTCTTCAAAGTCCTGCTTGAAAAAGCGCGCGGTTTCCATATTGACTCCCATCGCGGCGAACACGATGGCAAAGTTGACAGCTTCATTGGCACGATCCGGCATCTGAACTAGACCACCTTGACGAACAATTTGTGCGGCGATCTCGTTGTGAGGGAGTCCGGCAGCCGAGAATATCGGAATCTTTTGACCGCGAGCAATCGAGTTCATCACGTCGATAGCCGATATTCCAGTCTGAATCATCTCTTCCGGATAAATACGATTGTACGGGTTGATGGCCTGTCCGTTGATATCCAAATAGTCCTCTGCCATCACAGGCGGTCCCTTGTCTATCGCCTTTCCGGATCCGTTGAAAATCCGTCCGAGCATATCGATCGAGACGGGACTACGGAAAATGTCGCCGGTGAATTCGCATTTCGTGTGCTTCGCATCCACTCCGGTGGTTCCTTCGAACACCTGTACGACCGCCTTATTTTTGAACGTCTCGAGCACTTGTCCCATTCGTAACTCGCCGTTTGGCAGAGTGATCTTCACGATTTCGTTGTACATTGGGAATTTCACATCGCGGAGAATGACGAGCGGTCCGTTCACTCCACATACCGTTTGATAATTCTGCAAGAATCATTGTTTTTATGGCAAAAATTAGCAAAAAAAGGGAAAACGAACCAATCGCGGCTTAGTCGAATAGTTACGAATCAGAGCCGTCCGATGACTGGTAATCGGAGAGTTGACATCGTTTCTTGGCTCAAAATACGCAGGATCAGCGACTTCCGTCATTTTTCGAAAAGAAATGTGGAAACGTTTCAAAGCAGGGATCGAAAAGTAAACGCTTTAGCGCCACGTGCTACTGTAGGATTAAAGGCGCAGTGATAACTTTCAAAGTTTTCCGACTTCGTTGTGAGACCCACACATCTGTCACGCATTCTTTTTCTTAAGCTCCAACTCATCCTCTTGCGAAATCGATGAAGAAAACGAGTTTATATAAAAAGAAAGAGTGCGTGTCATACTTATTAAGACTAAACTGTATATATAGAAAAATCTACTAGAAAAACGGGGGAAAATGGATTACACCATGATTTACAATTATTCAATTCGGGAAGCATAAGATCTGGGAGAGAGAAATGGAACGGGATGTAAAAATTGGATATGTGGAAGTGAATGTTTAGGCTTCTTCTTTTTTCGCATCAAGCTCCGGATCGAATTTGAGACGAGGCCAGCCGGTGCCGTGCTTCTGTTTCAGCGAGATCTCCACTTTTCGTTCACCAATCACAACGCGACTCTCCTCCGGAATCACCTCGTCCCACAAGTCATATTCGAGATCGACGTCGGCGTTTCCGAAGCCGTGCTTCATACTTACGCGAAGCGTGTGCCCGTCGGAAATGATGTTGGCAGTTTCGGGAAGAGCTCCACGGCAATATACATTGATGGTGACGAATCCATTGCTAGAGAACCAATCTTCTCGGAACTTGCTAACAATTTCATTCTGAAAACATCAAATATTGATTTTTCGACAGATCTAGAACCTTACATTTCTAAATTTGTGTTCTCCATTGGTGCATCCGACTTGTTCAAGGAATGCGCCGAAGTTTGACGTCTTCTTATTACAACACGACCAATACTTCATTCCCTCGTGGAAAATAGCAGCGCCCGGATGATGAACACATCTATTATCTCGGCTTTTCGATCCATCGAACGTCGTCGCGCATCCATTATTCCGGCACGGAGCTCCAATTTGAATATCGGTGCTCTGCGCGGCTTCTTCGATTTCCTTCATCTTTTTCTCAATGGCAGCAGTGGCGCCGGGCGTCACCTCCACATTCAGATTCACATCGACTCGTTGTGTTGTGTCCTTATTTTGAGACTTTCCAGACTTGTTCAATCCTTTCCACACGATCACATCCTCCTCCTTCTCCGGTCGAATCTCTTTGACCGCCGCGATTTTCACAATGTCAACCGGCTTCTCGTTGCTGTGCTTTCCACGTGTACACCCTTTATAGCCCATCCACGTTCCGAAATCCGTGCTTTTCTTATCACAACACGTCCAAATTTTGTAGGCGTCATGGAAGTACGGAGCACCCGGGTGATACGTACAGGATTCTTTAAAAATAAATCAAAATCTCCAAAAATTGAAAAGAAAATGCGCTTACCATTGTGATTATCGTTCGGATCGAACAGATTTCCGCAACCTTTGTGATAGCATTGCAGTTTTCCTTCGTCAACCATCTAGAAAATGCGAAGAAAGTAAAATAAAATAGTATACTCTTGAGATATTGGCTAAATAATCCGGTCTCCGATGGCGAATGCTCGAGAAATTTCGCGACACGCCCCTCGCTCCGCCCATTTGCAATGCCGCGGCGCGGAATTCTCAGGAGAAATAATCAAGCGATGCGCCTTTTTCGACGATGAAGTAAGAAAATAAGAGGAACAGATTATCGAAAAATATTTAATGTTCACCGATGTTTTGGGATAGAATTAAAGGTGATAAGAAATAAAACCAGACAATAAATTAAACGGGGTGTGGAGGCGAGGGTATAGTTTACAATACAATAGAACAGAAAGAGTAAAATCGATTATTTCTTCTCAGCAGTTTCGGCTTCCTTCTCCTTCTTTTCGTGTTCAGCGATCAAAGCGTCGACTTCTTTGGTGGAGAGCTCCTCAAGAACGGTCTTTCCATCGCGGCGAGTCAAAACAGCCATCTCAACTTTCTCTGATGCAAGCTTCACATCCAAAGTCTTCCAAAGAACCTTGATTGCCAACTTCTTGGCCTCGTCGAGAGATGGAGACTTGTATTCTTGCTTCAACAAAGTGACAGCGGCCTGGTGGTTGCTTCCGATGCATGTTGCCTTCCATCCGGTG